TAATATTTCAAACATGATTCTATTTATTAATTTCATTAATCTGTGAGATCTATTTAAAACAGCAATATATTAACCCAACAAATACATATATCATGATGTGATCAAAGTATGCAAACATATACATGTATTTCATATGATACCAAACATTAAAACATAGAATATATGAGCATCTGATTTGATAGTAATTTACTCAGAGGGCTTACAGAGGATAATACATATAATTTTAACATATGGTTATACATATTATTCTGACAGAGGGCAATAGGTGATACATATAATTCTTACATAGAGAAATAGGTAATACATATAATTCTTACATAGAGAAATAGGTAATACATATAATTCTTACAGGACTAAAATACATATAATTCTGACAGAGGGTTATACATATAATTCTGACAGAGAGAAATAGGTAATACATATAATTCTGACAGAGGGTAATACATATAATTCTGACAGGACAATAATACATATAATTCTGACAGAGGGTAATACATATAATTCTGACAGAGGGCAATAGGTAATACATATAATTCTGACAGGGCAATAATACATATAATTCTGACAGGACAATAATACATATAATTCTGACAGAGGGTAAAACGAGAGCAATAGGTAATACATATATTTCTGACAGGTTAATAGATAATACATATAATTCTGACAGAGGGTAAAACGAGAGCAATAGGTAATACATATATTTCTGACAGGGTAATAGATAATACATATAATTCTGACAGAGGGCAATAGGTAATGTGTATAATTCTGACAGAAAGTAACATGTAATACATATAATTCTTACATAGAGAAATAACCCGAGCCACTAGGCTAAGCGATGTTACAAGCATGCAGTATTAAAATTATCAGTATACAAACTCAAAAGTTTAATTACTTAAAATATACCAGTTACACAAATACATGAATGCAAAATTTGGTCTATATCATGCATACAAAATATCAGAAAAATACTACTCCTTAAATAAAGTAATTTATATAATATACATTCAGTTCAAAAATGTATTTTGTAACCTTAGTGCAGAAACAGGTTCACTTCTATTAAAATATAAAAGGAGTTAACCCATTATTGCAATAAGGTGACAATTTGTATACATTTGGTTTATATATTTCAGTATAGATGTCATAAATGTGAAGACAAAATACAGATGACAGAATACAAAGATGGTATATAAACAAACATATGATTTCAATTACTTATACACAATATACCAAGAAAAATTGGAATATCCAGACTAGCCCCAAAAGAACACATCATAATTTCATTTAAATGACTCCCAATGAAAAAGTAGCATGTTATTGTTTTGTTTTTTTTATAAATCATTTTTGGAAAGCAGTTAAACAATGGTACCCGGGATTTTCCCGATGAGAAAGTAGAATGTTGCTGGGGTATTATTGGTATCAGATATTAAAAAAAGTGGCCAAATAAATATAACAATATTCAAGCTAGGCACTGGAAGGTTGGTGGTTCTACCCACATGCCATCTGTCACTTGCAATAATGCACAAAGAAGCACTTGAGATCTTCCTCGACCAGTAAAGTTGCTATGTGACCTTTATAGTGTTAGTTTGATTTAACTCCTCACTCCCTACGTGATATAATGAATAATGTAATTAGTCTATTTATACACCCTCAAAAAATTCTCACATAATCATAATGGCATATAAAGAGAGGGACTAGTAGAGAGAGAAAGAACACATGACCAGATGTAACCTTAGCAATAAAATACTTTTGCTTGAAATCTCTTATTCTTAAAAAGAAGAACTTGTACATCTTTCATTCAAACTTAATAATATCATTAATAATGAATATCTATAGAGCAAACCAGTCTTTTACACAAATGCAATCTTCCTGGTTACAAATTTAAAAATCAAAGCTTCAAAAACAATATCAAAAACAAATAAATACAATTATAAACACTTCACTCAGGGTTTCTCAAAAACCAATATCCCACTTTAAACCAGATATGCTAAATTAATGGGATTTAAAAATCGTGGCAGCATTTTTTTTGCAAAGAATTGGTCGAACACCCAGCAATATAATGCAGAATATATTGTAGTAATGCAGTATTGGTTTCTGGAGCATTTTGGATCCTGAATAGTCCAATACGGGATTGTCATGCAAGCAGGGATTGTTTGTACAATATGAGTATAGAATATACATGTACATCTAATATGAAAACCATTTGCAAACAGAACACACTTTTTCAATCAACATAACATGTGAGCATTAGCATTTCTTGAACTACACAAAATGAACAAAAAAACACATCCTTATTGACTAATTAATCAAAATTATTGGAACAATACTCATATGTTTTCTAAATTTGTTTGGACCCAATTTTTTTACAATCCTGAAGAAAAAATATTATGTTATATTAATGTTATATAAAACATGTTATATAAAAGTTGCTTTGGTACAGAAAGAATTGGCTCAAAACACTGAAGCAAATACTCATAAAGTCACATGACAGGGCTTAAAATTATAATTAAAAAATAACCCTTTAAATGTATATTCAAGGCTGACTGGATAGAAATTTAACCCTTAACTTGCTGGAACCAAAAGTGATCAACTAACCTATTCCACCAGTATAGAGGCAGGGACGGCCTGCTCGGAGACTCCGTGCAGTCTGACACAGCTCTATACTGCTGGAAGCTAAATTCTTGTATTTTGATATTGAAATCCCTTTAACTTTGAATGGACTGTTGCAATTTCAAAACACAGCAAATCTATTACACAAATTCAGTAAGTTTAGGGTTAGGCTATTTGGTATAATGATTCTACGACGTATAATTACAACATGATAATGGAAATATTAAATTTCATGTAGAATATGATTCCAAATGAATTATTTAAGATGCAAAGCTTCAATAATCTAAAGTGACATTATACTATTTTCCGTTGTCAAGTAGAGCTGAATTTACTATAAACTTCAAAAGATTGACTGTTGTAACAGTTCATATTGGAAAATATTCATATTAATTATATATCTGCCTGACATATAAAAAGACTGCCCAACTCTTTGTATAATAAATTGTATGTTACAGGTTCCAATGAATCTTTACAAAAATTTCATTGAGCAACACAAGTTATTGAAGTAAATTATGAAATTGAAAGGAATTATGGCAAAATATGGATTTATTCTGACTTTCACCTGTTCACTCACTATATATTCTCTCGGATGAGCATAATGTCACTTTAATAAACTTAGTTATGTCAGATTTTTTTATTACAGCTATTAAATGGCATTTCATATATAAAGAACACATAAACATTACTTTGTATGTAAATGTAAATGCATTCAAATGTAATACATGATTATAAAAGAGATTATTTAAGTCATTGTAAGTAAAATATCATCATTTACAAATATATACAAATATAAAGTACCTTCATTAGTTCCTAATGAGTGAATAACAAAAAGAAATTATTACAATCAAAATTCTCTCAACACAACATATTATGAATACCAAACTTATTGCAAGTGCAACAGGCTTAATATAAACCCTATCTTAATGAAACATCAGTAATTTATCAATAAATTTCATTATTTCTACACACCAAAATAAAAACTAATTCATCTTTAGTACAAACCACTTTAAAATCCTCATTCTAAGAAACATATTTATGTACAACAGAAATATTTGCAAAACAATTTGCATATCACGCATGTTTGCAGTCACTAAATTTATATACATAAGGTCAATGTAGGTCAAGGTGAAAATGTAGCAAAGGGGTTTGAAAGAAACCTATTAAAAAGTCAAAGTTCATAAATGATAAAGTTACATCTTTGAAGGACACTCACTCATGTGTACTGTACATAATGTCATAATTCACACACAGAGGTCAAAACTTACACATGATACAAAGGTCAAAGTTCACATCAAGGTCATATCAGACTTTCACATGATGAAATGACATAATATCACAATTTCTAAAGAACTCATCTAGAATGATGATTGCCCTGTAAATTTTCTCAATTCTTCATAAACAATCCAGAACGTGAGTGACCACGGGGCCTGCAGAAAAAAAAGAAAATATTTACAAGTAAAAGAATATGACAAACAATAAGTTCATTTACTTATGCTTGAAAAAATTATCCATGGCTTTACCAATTACATATTCAACAATTCTGAACAAAATATCACATTCTTAACTAATTAAACAAATCTAATTCAAAATCCAGCAAAGTTTATAAGTTATAAAGATTTTTGACAGGTTATATGGCCCTATATAAATGGTTGTTTGGAAATATAACCAAACCCTTAGGCAAGGATTAAATATACTCATAAAGCAACAAACTTCCTTTTTGAGAGAAAAAATAAAATATCTTCATAAATTGACAGCATTGTGTTTATAAAACTATATAAACGTCACAATTATGCAATGAAAAAGGACGTTACAAATGTACAAGTTTATAAAACTATAAAAAAATTTATAATGAAATTGATCATGTTGTATTTCTATGCATAAATGTAAAAAAAAAATACTTGAGAAATCAAAGGATGTCATTTACTTGATAATATATCATTCTTTAATTTACTATTTTGTTATTATTGATTTACTTATTGTCTTGAGTAATAAATATCTTACCATTCTGCAGTATGTTGGGAAGAGACCTTTATACAGAGCAAAGAAACCTTCTTGACGAAATGTTTTAATCAAACAATCTATAGAACCATGGTACAACACCCCTCTGAAAGAAACAACAGTGAACAACACTTTGATTGAAATTTAAATAACAAGTTACTAACTTGCAAATTGCAATAAACAAAACATTGGAGTTCATCAAGTAACTTTTGTTTTTTTCTTTTGCTCCATTTTGTCGAAATAACATTTGACTCACTTTTGCACCTGCTCCTTACAGGGGACCCTATAAGGGATAACATCATTTGGTACTTACAACTATCGATAAACTTTCATTTTAGTAATTACTATGCATCTATATATGATAGATAACCGCAATAATGTTTTTAAACTTGCGATGAAATCAAACAAATATTTAAACCATCCGCATCAGAAGTCTTTTAATCAAATAAATTTTTAAGCATATTGTATTGAGCTTTCATTTTGCTGGTTCTTTAATATGTTTTTTTTTAATTTTGTGAGTGGAAGAGTTCGCTTCTTGACACATTCAATAACATATCACAACAAATAGACTTGATCAGGCAATTATTAAAATAAGCCAGCATTTGGTTAGTCGTCAAAGTAATATTCTAAACTTCTATTTTTCATTTTATACCAATATAAAATTTGTGAACTGTAGATTTTTGACACATGTATATACATAATAACTAGACATAAACTATTTATTTTATGTTTCTCTATATTAAAATATGTGCTTGCAATAAAAACACATTTTTTTTTAACTTTTAGAGTTTTAAATGCAAGCAAAAGGGCAGGCACTGTTTAGCATGTGAAGATAGAGAATCATTTTGCAGTTTTTGAAAATCTTAGCCAATATACATTGTGAAGCAAAAACAAAACAAAACAACAACCAAACACAAATCAATTTTCCCATCTTTACATTATTCTTCTTTATTTTTAAAAATGGTTACCATAGTTACACCATTATCTTACCTTCCATTTTTGGTAGGTTGATTCATGACTCTAGTTTTCACAACATCAGCTGGTGTACACATTATAGCAGCTATCACACCAGCACAGGCACTAAAATTATTTTAATATTCTTTCTAATTAATCCTCGATTATTCAATCAGCTGTCTAAATTGAGATCATGTGACCAGTCAAATTTTACAAATCAAATAAAATCAGATAAAACCTACATATTTCATAATTTAAGTTATTTTCAGAAGTTTTCATAAAAAGATTACAGAATTCACATGAGGTAAATTGCTTCGACTTTCAACAGCAGCCAAACTTTCTTCCTCTTTTTCCCCCCCCCACGGGTGTGGCATATTTTCTCTGTGACAACTGCTCTCAGATATAATGGTTATTTGTCTATTATCACTGATTCAGAAATCATGTGAGATTAGAAGTTGGTCACTTGCAAAGAATTTGGGAACTTAAAATGATTTAAAACTTACCTTGACAATCCATGCACGACCCAATTATCAGGTAAAGTTGTTTTATTCAACAAGTAATGTTTCACTGTATCATATGTCACCAAATCTGGAAACAGATGCTTTTGTTCAGTAAATCTATTTTTAGCATTTCCAAATTTAATTACAATTTTAAAGGCACATTATACCTCAGAAATGCATATTTTCTAATTCTTTAGAAATGTTAAGCATGTGTTTAATAATGTATAAGTAAAGGATTAAGAGCATGTGAGATGTTTGACAACTGAAAATTAGCGCTCAACATGAAGTTATGTGTCGTAAAGGTAGCAAAATGTTAACAAAGTAGTATTTTGACTTCCATACCAATTACTAATTCACTATAATTATAAAATATGCAAACAGAGCTAAAGAAGCAAAAGATAGTTCATGTATATAGCAAATGAGTAAGTGTTTGGAAACTGTAACAAGATACCAAAAATAAACAGTTTATGAGAAAAAAAATGATAACATTTCTGAGGCATAATGGACCTCTAAGTTGAAGTTGTTTTTCTTTATAAATTTTGTTCTGAAGTCTTGTCAATATTGACAAGGTTATACTGAGATCTTCAAACGTTTTATTCTAATTCTTAGTGAATGGGTTCAGGGAAACCTATTTCAGTCCTTTACATAATAAATTTGACGAATTACCTCCCATGTTCACCAGTGCTGCCCTCTGTACATTTGGTACCCAGCCTCTCCATAATCCCCGTACACCAGATTCTGTAACTATGGTACGAAATGCATGTCTGACATTGTGTACCCTGAAACAAAGGCAGGTAATGATTATTATAATTTTCTTTTATTCAACAATGTTTATAACCTGTTTGATTTCTGTTAGCAGTGAATTTGCAAACTGTTTCTATTTTAGTAGCATATTTACATACTTATGCCTATTTCATAAGGTCAAGTGTTATACATATGTTGGCCATAACAACATATTTTTTTCATTGGTTTCTGATTGGAGAAGATTTATTGTGATCTTAATTTATTACCTCAAAATCAATACTCTTTCTACTGGCATGCATAACTGGCACAAAATGTTGAATGTGTTATCTTTTAAAATTCTGGAATAAAGGGTTCTGAAAGAAATTACCTGTATTGGAAATTTTCTGTAACATATAAAAATTACAATTCTACCTTGGTGGATGACCTTCTAGTCTTCTGCGACCTTCCATTTGCATATTGACCTTGATAAGATCAGTTGGACTTGCAATCAACTGACCCAATGCCCCAGCAGTTGACCCCACTATCACTCCTTTCCTGAAAGTAAAACACATTTTCTGCTATTTTACATAGTCACCTTACCTCAACCCATGATTATATGTTTCAAAATGCCTCTCTGAAAAATTTAGCACACTGGATGTATGACGTCATATCCTGAAATAAATACCACACTCGTCCTTTAATTCTCTTTGGATGAAAGGTAAAAACACATGTTCCTTACAAGTTATATACTTTTAACATATCTTACCATGCATGTGTGCTCCGATAGATTTACTCAGGAATTAACTATATTTTGGGGTTTTCAAGCTAATCCGATAGTACAAACAAACTTTAATATTTACAACATTGAAAACTAGAAATGTGTCATCATGCCACGGATGCCCCCGCATGCAGCCAAAATTTCTTTTTTCATTTTAAGTTCAAAAGCCCTTAAAACTTTTCAATGTTCACACAAACCATTTTCATACAATGTTCAAGGCACTGAAATAATTCAGTCTTAACCTTTTAAAAATAGCATATTGCATATTTGTAGCCAAAATAATGGCTAAAAGTATGAGTGCTGAAACTGAAAGTTGAAAATTTTTCCAACATTCAGGAAAGATAAGTTTGTCTAAAATCATTGAACCACGACCAAATTCAAACTTAAACTGCTTATCCCTAAGATGTATCTATATTATTTTCAAAGTGAAAGGGACATAACTCTGCCAAAAAATCATCAAACCATGACCAAATTCCAACTTGACCTGCCCATTCCTTTGACATATCCATATGTCAAATTTAAGTTGAATATGTAACACTGTTGGGTAGATAATGAACAGAAACTGTAAATTTCATATTATTTTCAAAGTGAAAGGGCCATTACTCTGCCAAAAATCATTGAACCATGACCAAATTCGAACTTGGCCTGGGCATTCCAAAAACATATCCATATGTCAAATTTGAGTTGAATGTGTTGTACCATTGGGGAGATAATAAACGGAAACTGTAAATTTCATATTACTTTCAAAGTGAAAGGGGCATAACTCTGCCAAAAATCATTGAACCATGACCAAATTTGAACTTGACCTGCGCATTCCTTTGACGCATCCATATGTCAAGTTTGAGTTGAATGTGTTGTACCTTTGGGGAGATAATGAACGGAAACTGAAAATTTCATATTATTTTCAAAGTAAAAGGGGCATAACTCTGCCAAAAGTCATCCAACCATGACCAAATTCGAACTTGACCTGTATTTTCTCATGACATATCCATATGTCAAGTTTGAGTTGAATGTGTTGTACCGTTGGGGAGATAATGAACGGAAACTGAAAATTTCATATTATTTTCAAAGTAAAAGGGGCATAACTCTGCCAAAAATCATCGAACCATGACCAAATTCGAACTTGACCTGTATTTTCTCATGACATATCCATATGTCAAGTTTGAGTTGAATGTGTTGTACAGTTGGGGAGATAATGAACGGAAACTGAAATTTCATATTATTTTCAAAGTAAAAGGGGCATAACTCTAACAAAAATCATCGAACCATGACCAAATTCGAACTTGACCTGTATTTTCTCATGACATATCCATATGTCAAATTTGAGTTGAATGTGTGCAACCGTTCTTAAGATAATGAACGGAAACTGATGATGACAGAATGACGGAAGGATGGAACAGGGTAACACTATATGCCCCGGCCATTACATGGCTGGGCATAAAAATGTAACAGGATGACAATGTTAGTGCATAATAAAGCTATATGAAGTTTGTTTGTACCCAGTGAGTAGCTGGAAAAAACCCATATGTGCGAGTACCGGATAACATCTACTAGATGCAGAATTATATATATGATGGTGTAATTTGAGGTTTTGTGTAGACTAGCTCTATTGAGGAAAAATTGTGTTAAGATTTGGAAGATTAGATGATTTCACAAAGACCAGTTAAGATATTTAAATGTACATGTTCCAAGAAAATCGTGTAAATAAAATGCTGTTTACTTTTAAAATGTGTGTAAATTCAGTTAATGCCATCTATACAATTTGTATCAAATCAATGAAACATCCAATAAATTTCTATTTCCCCCCTAAAATTTTATGATTTTTTTTATTTTAAAAACATGCACTGCTATTTTCATATCTTTAGTAACTAGGTGTGAACAAGATAAAACTTGTTTGTAAAACTAAAATCCTAAATTTGCTGTAACAATAATTTCGTAAAATAATCTAAAATTTGACCTTAAAGGTCAAGGCTATTTAGGTGTCAAAGTCATGATTCACTATGTCAAAGCAAAGCTCTTGTTGACAGGTATTTTATATCCTAGTGTACATGCTCAAATTTATAGAAAGAAAATACTGACATTTGTTGTTGAGTAACTCAGACAGCCACCCAGCCAGCTTCCCCCCCTCCCACCACCTCGAAATATGACCCTAATTATCTGACCTATGTTGGTGTATGTAGTAGTAATAGCATAAAATTTCAGGGGTAAGGCTTCATAAATGGATACTAAGGAATTCCTTATTGAGGTAAGGTAATTAAAGCAAGGGATAGGTTTTTGTTTTAATTGGGAAGAAGTCAATTTATATCTTACCACAATGAGAAGGATCCGTCTGGATTCTTTTTGAAAACCTTATCTCTAAGCACCTCGTATATGTTCATTCTACAACCAGTGTACACTGAAATACAAATAAAATGGCTATTCATAACATAAACCCTTAGGAACTAACCATGCAAACAGTGTAGACCAAGATCAGCCAGATGTGCAAAGAACCCAAACAACTCTGTGACCATGTTTTTGTATATCTTGCACTACAGTTATATGTTTCTACATTTTATTACTGTATGGCCAGAGAGTAAAGAAAAAACTATACAAGAGCCATGTCAACATGGCCATCCCCCGCCGAATGTGTTTGCTCATTGGAAGAATGTATATGTAGTAGAACAGAATAATTTCATTTTAAGAGGTCTTTTGGTAATGAAAACTGATGGCTATAGTGATTACAGATTTGAAACCTATGTGAATACTGATGGCTGAAAATAACAAAGGGCAATAACTGAAAAATAATGCAGGGTAGGTTATCATTCTTGTGTGCTGCATCCCTCCTCAGTAAAATCTATCCACCTATGAAGTTTGAAGTTGATACCTCAAATACTTTTTGAGAAAAAAATTGAATTGAAATATTAAGTATGAAAAATAACAAAGGGCAATAACTCAAAAATTATAAAAGGTAGAGTTATCATTCTTGTGCAGTGCACACCTCCTGAGTGAGATCTATGCACCTATGAAGTTTCATTTTGATATCTCAAAGGCTTTTTGAGTTATGCTCTGGACAAAAATTAATTTTGAAAAATAACAAAGGGCAATAACTCAAAAATAATGCAGGGTAGAGTTATCATTTTTAAGCACTGCACTCCTCCTCAATGAGATCCATCCACCTTTGAAGTTTCATGTTGATACCTCAAATACTTTTTGAGATAAGTTCTGGACAAAATAGCATGAAAAAAAACAAAGGGCAATAACTCAAAAATTGTATAGGGAAGAGTTATCATTCTTGCGCACAACATTCCTCCTCAATAAGATCTATCCACCTATGACATTTCATGTTGATATCTCAAACACTTTTTGAGTTATGCTCCACTCAGGTGAAAAATTAGGTATGAAAAATAACAAAGGGCAATAACTCAAAAATTATGAAAGGTAGAGTTATCATTCATGTGCACTGCACACCTCCTGAGTGAGATCTATGCACCTATGAAGTTCCATGTTAATATCTCATAGGCTTTTGGAGTTATGCTCTGGACAAAAATCAATTTTGAAAAATAACAAAGGGCAATAACTCAAAAATCATGCAAGGTAGAGTTATCATTCTTGTGCACTGCACTCCTCCTCAATGAGGTCTATCCACCTATGAAGTTTCAAGTTGATAACTCAAATACTTTTAGAGATATGCTCCGGACAAAAATATGGACGGAAGGACGGACGAACGGAAGGACGGAAGGTCGGACGGACGGAGACTATTTCTATATCCTCCGCCGAAAATTTTCGGCGGGGGATAATAAAAAAGATCAGCCAGCAAGTATGTGCCCTCTGATTATGGTTTTGTCAAGATTTAAAAATTGGACAAACAAGATATTTAGTCTTGTATGGGTAAAAAAAAGTAAAATATTGTTTTGCCCCTTATAACATGCAAATATCCAATTGTCTTTATAACAAGCAATGATATTTTATGTGACAGGTGCTATTTATCTCAAACATTTGTGGATTAGCAATACTAATTGGCATTTTTTTTTTCATTACGTAACCGGCTAATGAAAGATTGGTGACTACACCCAAGTGCTTGTACATGCTAATAATGTATAGAGGAATGTATTGTCCTTTTTGTCATTTATAAAAGTTAAAATAAAAACTGGAAAGCCACAATTTAAAACATACATGTACAATATTTGTGTGATCTCAAATTCTGCAAAGCAGTATTAGATAATTACGTTAATTTTTATGGATGTTAGTTTGAATGTTTAGTTTAAAGCACTATTTCACATACCTATATGTCTGTATAAGGCTGGAGGAACTCCTTGCCAGAGTTTGAAAAAACCTTCCTCCGTCACTGTAGAAACAAACAAGACTTAGTAATGAAACAGAAGAAATTTTCCCCCATCATATTTGCACTCTACTGCCATAGCAACAAATATATAATGACAAAAGCAACAACACTCTAAGTTTGTAAATATTTCACAGAATAAAATTCATAAGATGCAAAAGAGGTCAATTGTGAATTTTTACACCTGTTGGTAATGTAGCAATATCTACTAATTGGGCAATGGGCATACAACAATTTCTAGTTTTAAATTGGAAAATATGACATGAAGGAAAATAACCCTGTAGACTCACCTATTCCGTGTAATATTTTCAACATGCCTCTGTTAGAATGGGATACAGTTGTTCCGGATACATTAATTTCACCTTGTATCTGTAATCTGGTCTTTGTTAAATCCAGGGGATATGTCACTGAAATGCAAAAGAACATAATTAAAACTGTAGTTAAAACAATAAGGACAGCACATTTATAAACATTTTTAAAATTCTTAAAATCAATATTAAAAATTTTAAGGTGAAACTGAAAATGTAATTACAGCTATACTACAAAACATTATGCTAGGCTATTTCTTAAGCTTCACAATTGTTTAGGTCTAATAATTTTTTTTTCAGAAAATCATTCTTTACAGTCTGACCAGGATCAATACTGATAAATGGTTGTTTAATTTTTGTTTTCTGATACATATGTATTAAAATCCCTTTAATTTTAGATGGACCATTCCAAATTCAAAGTCATGCAAATCTATGAAAGAAATTCAGCAGGTTAAGGAGTTAATTTTTACCTGTTTCTGCAACCACTGCCGATGAAGCAGACAGCAAGTACTTATACAGTACGCCTTCATGAAGCTTGCCTCGTTCATGCTGATTGGCTGCTATTTTATTTGGAGGCGTGGCTGTGATATTAGAAGCATCCTTATTGGCTGCAACAGACTGTGGAGCTGATGACTCTCGGCTGGCCATGATTATGTTGTATATTTTCTACCTTAAAGTGTTGGTCAACTAGAATGAAGATTTCTCTGATCCATACTCTGATGATCTCCTGTAATATAATATCATACATTATATATATTTAACAAAAATTGAAAAAAATATAAATTCTTTAGAACTTGTTGAGAAATGGGAAATGTTACCAAAGAAATATGTCAGGAACACTTGATCCCACCTTTGCTTAGATGAAATTTTTATTATTGAATACTTCAAAAATAGTTTCATTTGTATCATGTTCAGACTGACAGACACTGTGCACATAAATATAACCTAACCCAACCTGATTTTTAACATTATTTTCTGGTGTGAATGTTGATTGCTTATTCAAAGGTCATTCATTTCTATTTTTTATTTTGATTCATGAACAACTTTGATATGCTGATTAAACTTTTAAGTGCTAAATAGTAAATTAGTCTGCAAGAAAATATTGTGCAAGTGCTATGGATTGGATAATAATGGTCTTTTGAATTTAAAATGATTCAGGTAAAGCATAGCTTTGTCCTGAACAATATCACTGAGCAACGTCTAAGCTCTATTTTGAAGAGCTTGCAGAATTTGAACCCCATGATGCTCTACACCACTCTTCGACTGCCTCCGTTGTCAAAGGGTTAGAGTCGATGACTTCTAATCCAGTTACCTCTCTGGCATTGGTTCGATCCCCTGGAGATGCTTTGGTAGTTTAGCACGGAGGAAGGTAGTCTAGTACTGGTGTATCTCTCCAGGAACGATGGTAAGGAAACTACCCGCCTATATGACTGAAATACTGTTGGAAAAAGGCGTAAAATGAAACAAACAAACAAACAGCAATCTTCCTCCACGTTTCAAGTGCGATAGCTTTCGGACAATTGTTTTATTTGAAAAATAGATTAAGTAACCAAAACATGACATAAGTAGTATTGTAACTAATGCCTGAATGGTCTTCGAGCATGACATTCATGAACATTATTGTAATAGAGTCATCTGGTCATCAGGTCATTGTCAGGAATTTTATAATTTGAGATCAGCTGATCAGTAATTTGACATTTCACAGTCTCATGTTATCATATGTGCAAGCAATACAAAGAATCTTTGATAGAAGTGCTGAAACAAATAATCATGATTCAATACAAACTATGACAAGCTGACAATCAAAGGATGCGTACCGTGTTACTAAAGAGAATGTTCTTGGTCGTTCTCTGTGTACATGAAATTTATGACGTCAGGGTGCACGTGTGAAAATACTGTTGTAGAATTTATGATACTTAGGTATCACTACACTATATATATAAGTAAAACTTACCGGTATTATTGAAGAAAAAAAAACAACTGAATATTAGAAATTTATAAGATTAGATGGATTTGGGCCAAACATAATCAAACATTCAATGATAGCATCAATTATTCCCAGATGATTTAAAAAGGGCTAAAGTTATACCTATTTTTAAATCGGGGGATAAGAATAAACCAAATAACTATCGATTGATATCAATTTTGTCAACTATAACCAACATATTTGAACGCCGTTTTTCCAAACAAATACAATCATTCTTTGGAAACCAACATAATTCATAATAATTAACAATCAGGATTTCGCAAAATTATTCTTGTAACACTCATTAGTTTAATAGATACATGGTTAATAGATGTGGACTATGGAAAAATTGTTGGGGCTGTATTCTTAGATTTAAAGAAAGCCTTTGATATGGTTGATCATGAAATAGTTCGGCATAAACTTAAGCTTTATAATTTTTCTGAAAATGCCGTATCTTAACAGAATACAACTGGTTAAGATAGGTAATCTTCAATCTCAGACAATGAAAATGATTTCCGGTGTTCAAAAATGTTCAATATTAGGACCTTTAATTATTGTTTCTAGCTAACATTCATAAATGACAGCTTTAATTGGTGATGATATAAAAATTGATCTATACGCAGACGATTGTACTCTTTATGAGTTGGAGAAAATATATCAAAAGTAGAAGTAAAACTCCAACATCATTTAAATCGTATCGTATCGATTTATTCAGGGAAAAGACATATACACATACAATTTTATCACAGATATCAACTTGCATATATATATAAACACACACATAAATGCAACAAAAGTAATTATAAGATTAATTAATGAGTATGTGGATTGCCCATTAAGTAAGCTAAAAGCTTATTTCCAATGGGGTCCATTTTCTGTAAAATTATTACACTAAATTACATAATAATAAATGAGTTATAAAGAAGTTAAAATAAATGACAATTTTCAACAATCAAGACACATTTTTCAATATAATAAGACAAGTACATTGTACACAAACAAAATGCAATAAATTTCATTTAAACTAAAACATATCAGGTACAACATGTAATAGAAAGAGCACCGAAACACGAGGCTATCTGATTTGTACGAGGGGGCGTAGCCCCCGAGTATAAATCAGATTGCCGAGTGTTTTTGGTGTTCTTTCTCTTTTGTATCATAGTCAAACATGACAGCACGTTCCCTGTTGTCATAATATGAAACCCCAGAAAAAATTAACCAATGAACGAGCATTTGAATATGATATTTCTGCCCCCTTCCCTTTCTCTGCCGTCACAATATGTAAACCCCAGCAAAAATGAACCAATCAACGGGCATTATCTGGAGTGCGGGTAACTGATACCCGCACTTCAGTTACCGCACTGTGCATGTATATGTATACGATTTAACTGTGACACTTTTTCAACAGAAAGGTCCCCAAACTATGATACAAAATCATGTTACAAAACCTTATCATAAGTTACACATCAATTTAATAATAAATAAACATATTATTCACTTGTTTATCATTTTCATTACTTAAAAAAAGTTTTTCTTTCGTTTTAAATGTTTGGATATTGTCAATTGATCTGATGTTGTCTGGTAAAGAATTCCAGTCTTTTATGGCATTGTAGAAAAATGTATTTTTAACATAAGAATCATTTTGAGGCAAAACAAAATTAAAATTACAAGATCTTAAATTGGATATTCTACAAACCTTAAACAATTCCTTTAAATAAGAAGGGCTTTTGTTGTAATAAACTTTATGAATGTGGTTGAGTCTTAACTGTCTAACTCTATCATTGACATTTAACAGAACCTTATTTGTCACTGAAGTCCTAGGAGTGTAGTCTTTTATCAAGCGCACAACCTTATTTTGAGCTACTTTAAGTTTGTGCTTCAGTGACTTACTCAGTCCTTCGTACCAAGAAGATGAAGAATAATCAAAGTGACACAGCAAATGACTTTGAGAAATGGTGCAAAATCAATAATATGGCCTTAAACCCAGAAAAATCAAATTGTATGGTGATAAGAGCAAGACCAAAACTAAAAATGATGAGAAAATTGTATCTTAAGATAAATGAAATAGTTCTGGAAAATGTAACTGATAAAAAAGCCCTGGATATTTGAATAGATTACACCTTAAAATGGCACTTTCAAATTTACCATGTTTGTAAAAAACACAAGGGAAAAATTAAATTGCTTTGCTGAAAAAAAATATCGTGTTTTTTTGCACTTAGATATGAAATAAATGTTTTACAATGCATATATATTGCCCATTATGGACTATTGTTGCATTATGTGGGGTAAAGAAAACACAAACTACATAAATAATGTTTGTAAATTACAAAAACGAATTGCTATAATCATTTTAAAGCAAACATAAAGATCTCCGTCAGTGGAGCTATTCGAAGCTGGTTACCATTCCTTGTGATGCAGATGTAAATATAACACGACGGTTCTTGTTTTTAAAACTTTAAATGACATGACACCAAGTTATATGACAAAATTAATGACTTTAGCAGACAACAAAATGTACAATTCAAGATCTAGCTCACGAAAAGATTATTGTATTATGGACAAGACCTAAAACAAGTTATATTAAAGACATTTTTTCTTATCATGGCATGCACATTTGGAACAGCATACCTTTAAATATTCGCAATGTTAATAATCTTAAATGTTTTAAAGAAAAATATAAAACATATCGTGATGTTAATATGAATGAATGAATAAATGAAAGAAAGAAAGAAAGAAAGAACGAAAATAAAAAAAAATGAAGAAATGGTACTTGCTGATGGGACCGAACTTGCTGTAAAATTAAAATATATACGCTTATTAGATTGATTGTTTTTTTAAAAAAGAACACTCAAAGTTCAAATGTAATTATTGTATTAGAAATGTAATAATTTGCTTGTATTTAGAGCTAGCTAGAACATAAATTATCATTTTAACAAAACAAACTGAGAATAAAGCATTTTACGAGGAAATGAACAATTTATTTGTGAGCTATAGTAAGACTATATTTTTGGCAATATTCACTAGGTTCCAGCTCAGTTACACCATTCTTCAAAACCTATTAAGCTGGAAGGATGAAACGCAATGATACGTTTTAGGCAGGTGTTTCGTATTTGGTTTAACCCCTTTTCAAAAAGCAAACTTGTCATATATTGGAGGATCATTTGGAATGTTACAGGGTTCAGCTCTAAGGCGGTAAGAATCATCGAGGTTGACCTCGTGATAGGGTTTCCCGGGCATGTTGACCGTTAGCTCTGAAACGTTCCGCCTGGAATATCTACAATTATGTTTTAAATACTGTTGACAAACCTTTCTTAAATGACTAAAAGCCATTTCTAACGACACGACAAAGCAAGTGTCTCTTTGTGAATTCTTTGGAAGGCTACGACCCTTAGCTTTTCAGCAATATGCGTCATAATGTTCACAAATACCATTCTGAAATAACACATAAACGACTCGCCGGGTGTGTTCTCAATTTTGCCTGATTTTTCTACTTGGTCAAAACTTTAATTTTTAATTATTTAAGATCATCTTGTTTACCTGATAAAATTGAAAAGTTGAACGAATTAAACAAAGAAGTTGTGTTTTCTTTTCAATAGGCATTTATTCTTTTTAAAACATTTTTTTTCTAGTCTCAAACATAACCATAAGTGTATGCTGTTCATAAAATTTAATTTATTTTGATTTTGATGTTTTAACATATATTTACACCTTTAAAAGTGTACTTTGACTGTTTTGACGGGGACTTTTAAGCAGGTCATTTTTGTTATCTTATATAGCCTTCAACTAAACAATCATACTAATCATATGCTATATACTGATACAGTGCTGATACAGTGTTATCATCTATTATATTCATACAAAGCGAATACAAATTCAGCATATACAAGTCAAGTTCACTAAAATCAGACCAAGTTCATTAAATTCACATCAAGACTGGCTTGTAAAATGAATAAGTTATGGATTTTATTACTTTTTGCAGCAGGTATCGCTGACATCAATTGCAAATCAACTTCTGCCGTCGACAGTGACAAAGATGAGAATATATGTTGTATAGCTGATAACTGGGAGGGCTTATTGTACTTGGATATGGGTATTGTATTTATAGACCAGAACACAGCATATTCATATTTTAATGGGACTGTACACGCTGCTTATAGTTTTTCGAGCAAAAAAGTGTTTTTCAATATTTCGGGCCTGGAGATGAGTCCATTGATACCTAAACCAATACCAGACAGCACGCTGTTACTATATGACTTTGAAAAGGTAAAATGTAGCAAACTTATTGGCCTATTGTTCACATTAAAATTTGAAATGTTCCCCAAAATCGACACTTGTGACAGTTTAACATGTTATAATTTATAATGCAATCAATTTGTAAATGTTTTCGACTGCATATTTTTATGTCTTTAAAAGGTATATTTGCATTGTGTACAATTTATTCTTTATGTTCAAGTAAGCTCAGAAGGTATAAGAGAGAAATAATTTATAATAAGTTAAGTTATAAGTTATTTTACTAAAACGTTTTGCTTGAAGCCAAGATTTCAAGATTTCAAGATTTTATTATTCACACAATACATGTAAATATGAGGCCAATAACATTCCTGCTGAATGCGATATGATCTGCTTTTATTATAACTAAATATGTAAGTTTTTGCAAATGTATGAATTAAAACTAGCCCATATTTCTAGGTTTGTATATCATTCCATCGCCAATCATCGTGATTAAACACATTTAGATTTGACAATTCTTTCCTAAAAAATACTAAGCTATGTTGAATATACGACAGTACTACGACGGACATTCTTAATACAGCAGATTTGTATATGTAAGTTTCTAGTACCATTTTTACACATTGTCAAGTACTAGTAAATTATATGTATCATTTATCTCATTGAATATAAAAAGATGAAACGTGATGTTTATTTATTAATCTAATGAGTGATAGCTCAAATACAGACTGGTATATACATATGGCATTTATTGAGAGTCAGACTAACAGGGTCTGCTACGTGAAAAAGGTAAATGTTTTTTGCAAGGCAATTTTAATATCTTTTAATCCATTTTTAAAAATAATATATTATAACAATGTATGAAAATTAGTATATATTTTACCAAAGTTTAACTTAATTAATAATTGTCTGAAGCATAACTTATTTTATTACAGATGACCATGTATATGGTCCCGGCTCAAGGAGGATGCACCAAATCCAGTTTAGATAGTAAAATGGAACGCGCTTGTGTGCCACGTGCGTAAATTTACACATTTATATATGCTGTGCAGACCTTTATGTACCAAATTCACGAGACAAAGACACATTATGTCCCAGAAATGCTTTAGTATCTATTTTAGTCTTACTATTATGAATTCCAAAAACTTACTTAATGAACAGTTATCCTAGCCATTTTTTTCTATTGCTTTTTTGCAATTTTAACATTGTAGTGATCAAGTACTTTGTATGGAAGTCAAAATATTACTTTCTGCTATTTTTATGACAAATAATTTATCATTAGCGCTATTTTCATCAGGTGACAACTGACAAAAGACTAACTTGCTCAGAAACCAGCATTTACACGTTATAAAATTCATGTTTGTCTTCCTGAAGTAAGAAATATATGAGCCGCGCCATGACAAAACCAACGTAATGTGTTTGCGACCAGCATGGATCCAGACCAACCTGCGCATCCGCGCAGTCTGATCAGGATCCATACTGTTCCCTATCGGTTTACCTCTTCTTATACGGTTCATAACCGAACAGCATGGATCCTGATCAGACTGCGCGGAAGCGCAGGCTGGTCTGGATCCATGCTGGTCGCAAACGCATTATCTTGGTTTTGTCATGACGCGGCTCATATATTCGTTTCTGAGACATAATGTGTGATAAATGAATTTTATAAATACGATAATAATGTAGAGATGTTTCAAATTAATAGACTATTTAATACAAAACATACAGTTTGTTATTTCAAAAGTATACATCCGTATTTATGTATATTCAGTTTAAAGTTCCGAGACGTCACACCCCTTTTAAAAATGGCGACTCAACGTTGTTTTTTTTTTCTTAGATGATTTGAAATATATCTTTCTGCCTAAATAATTATATCACATTTACACTACTGTGTTAATGAGATCTGCTAGGCACAAGCAAACAATCACATGTATAATTTAATATGAGGTTGGCTTCAACATAGTTTGAGTTTAGAATAGAACAAAAAGATACGTATGGTGGCATATTTCTGCCACCAGATAAGGTGGCATATTTCTGCCACCAGATAACCACATAACTAACTAGTTAATTAAGAGGTTAACTAGTTACGTAACTTGTTGACCTCTTAATTAACTAGTTAGTTATGTGGTTAACTAGTTACGTAACTATTTTATTTTTTTCAATAAATAAAAGATCATAACGGGAAATAAATGCATGTTAGTGCCTACAACTGCCATCCTTTTATCATTTTACCAGCTTAATGTTAAGAGGTTAACTAGTTACGTAACTAGTTAACCTCTTAATTAACTAGTTAGTTATATGGTTATCTGGTGGCAGAAATATGCCTCCATAGTTACGCTATATATTTCTTATTATTAACAGATGGTGCAAAGGAGACTGCGACAGGAGTGTTTGGTTCAGGCAATACAACTAGATTGTTACATACATATCAGTTCTCGACCGACAATGATGTACCTTACGACATCAGGGCAACAATTTTTAAAAATGGCAGGCCTTTAATATTTTCATGTTATATTTTCTATTATGACAAATGATGGTTTTAATATATCAGTGGATGGTACTAACCTCCATTTCATATTTAAGTGTGGCGGTATGCTTAAGTTCATGTGAATTAAGGGTCGAGCCGGCTCTTTGCATTTACCAGAGTTACCTTCGGACAGGCTTAATCCAAGGTTGCCATGTTCGGTGTTCAGAATGTTTTCATTATATTCTAAATGACCAGCTTTGGTGAAGCGTGTGTCGACGAAAAGTGACATTCAGCATATGTTTAATTGTTCTATATGTTTAAGTAATCGCCCATAAGGCATTTTACTGTTATGTATTAAGATGTCTGTGCGATGGCATGAACAAGGTAATCGGCACATATATCCTAAGAAATCTTTTTTTTATGGCGACTGATCTATTTCAAATAATAAGTTATCAAAACATAGATGAACCCATTGATTATGAGAATAGCTTCAATTTGTATTATCCTATCCCTTTGTAGCTTGCATACATTTTTGGACATACGGTCTACTGAAGACAATTTTGTCATGTTATGACGTGGATGAATTATTCTTCTTCTTTAAAATTTATGGGCATTTATTTCAGATTTGACGCCAGTACATCCAAAAGTGTGTGAGCCATTTTATGTGAACTACTTTACCCCCTCGGGGAACCCGGACAGCGGAACAATGTACGGGTTACAGTTCATGGATATTGGACCTATAAAATCAGAGAAAATATTTGACATTCCCGAGCCATGTCTGAAATTATAAAACGAGAGTGATGATTGAAAAGGAAAATGCAAGATATAAGTGAAAGCCATATTAAATACCAGAAATAACTACAATTTTTCCTTCTCAAGAAAAGACAAAAAATATGTTATATTTTTTTATAACTATGGTTTTAAAATATGTATGTTAAATGACACTGAATATGAAAATATCTATATATCGCAAAAGAAGCGAGATGTATACAAGAAAATTTTGACATGTAAATAAAATTCCAAAACATTTTACCTTAACTAATGGTCAAAACCTAAAAGGAGCGAATGATGGTCATTGTAATTAGCATCATTTTGGACATGATAATTAAAATGTTTTCTTAAAAAACTTTTTGGGGCTAAATGGGCTCTGAAGCAAGTTCAATTTGGCATAATAGTTCTTACTATATACATCTTTGAAAATAGGAAAACATAGTCTTTTTATTTCTGTTGTTGTTGCTCACATTATTTGGATCACGTAAATATCATTTTTCCTATTATTCAATAACTGGCAATAATTACAAAAGAAAATTGAGCGCTGGTTAATATGACGAACAATCGAATAATAGTACATTGTACATTTATTTGTATTGTACATGTATTCCTAGTTTGATGTAGCCATATAAAGTCTTATCCATTGTAGAAACGGGTATTATATATTTATGAACATGCATACATAAATAAAGAAATCAAAAAGGACAGAAAGTGTTGAAGGGTATTTATCTTACATATTAAAAATAGCAAATGCTTTAAAGTGATGGGCGCGGTCATTTTGTTACCCAATGTTACCGTAACGAATGTAACGCTATTTCACGCTCTGTTGAATGCTTGCAAAATATGTATTTGATTACCTAACAGAAAGGGTGCGTTTGTGTACATCAGACTAAATTGGGTTTCAGACCGGTTTCTTAAACTCTTCATTTATTTTGTAAAACTAGTTTGAAACTGGAAAAGGTTTGAACCAATTGTTTTGAACTGTTTTGTCAAACCCACCAAATTGCCCTAAGAGGCCGTTTGAACGGTAGCAAATGTGAAAGAAAATGGCGACAAACTTAGTCATTAGATTAGTGGACGAGAGTTAGATTACTCTATTTATCTTAGTACATCAACAAAGGCAGAAAAGGAACTTGAGATGTGAATTTTTAAGAGACAGACATTTTATATTTACATTGATTACATCGATTGCGTGATTTACATTTCATGCAGCACGTGTTTCTTAACGCATAAAACGTTTGCGGAAAGCTGTTCATAGAGAACAAGACGCCACAAATGTCATGGCCTTTTGCTTTAAACGACACTAACGGACAAAGGTATCGGGGAGGGAAAAGCAACAAAAAAGATAAAATCAATGAATTTTGATAAACTTAAAGTGTTTGGATTTAACCACTTCTGTGCACGGCACTACTGGATTTATGTAGACACGTCTTAAAATTTAAAGTTCTACTCTCATTTTTTTGAATTAATGTTAATAAAATAGATGTTTGCCATTCTGTAATTTTTATATGCAATATGCATAACAAATACATGCAATTTTTTCTTGTTATTGTTCTTTGCTTAAAATAGATATTAGTATGAAAATTATACTAATTGCATGATTTTTTTCAGGAAATTTTGTAAATTAATTCTGTAATTATAGAGTACTTGTAACATCAAAACAGAAAAAGCTTACTTGTGTGAATGCAAAATAATAGCTTTTCGATGTAATAATCTATTTATACAGACAGCAATTATTAAAAAATAAAATATCACTAATCATTATAAAATTTCTGTCTTTGCTATAAAAAGTTTTAGAGCAATCAAAACTACTTGTGATTAAAGTTATTTTAACACGAAATAACACTTGAGTATATAGGTTGCCAAAATTTGATTTCTGAAATTCACTTTTACATGTAATTTATTTCAATATGATTTAGTAGTAAATCGCCACAAAACCTGTCTGAAACCTGGCCAATCTAAAACAATAATGAAATAAAGACAGAAATAAACAAATTTTGGTTAGAATTAAGCTTCAGCTTCATGTATAGATTGCGGTCAGAAACTGGTTAGATTGTAGTCAGAAACTGGTAAGACTGTGGTCAAATAATATATCTATAAATGGTCGGTCATGGTAAAAAAGACGTCGTCGAACATGACATCTAAAAACTAATATTCAGCGCACACACTTTCGCAAAATAAATCGACATATTAGATAACTGACAAGATAGTGGTGTTTTTGAAGAAATTTCAACGAACGCAGTCTAGTGACTCCATATCACCTTACATATAGAAGTTATTGGTGATCTGATTATTTTTATATAGGTTTAATTGTTAGGCAATTAGATAGAAACTTAAGATATTACCTTAAATTAAGAAATTTGTATAATTTCGGAAGTCAATTCAAGTCGATTGTAACCAAAAGTGTATACATGTATCCTTTTATGAGAAAATTAGTAGCCCTTTCCACAACACAGTCGGGCATAATTTCTCGAGCAAGGATGAAGTTTTTGGGAGAAACAGAATGCCTGAAAGACATACAGAATTACTGACAGACAGAATGGCAGACATAAAATATACCATCAAAGCCTTCAATACGTACGGGGGCATAAAAAGATTTTTGCAGCTAGGGCCTCTTGTACCACACTCAAAGTAAATACTACAGGCAAGCCACACATTATATCAGAAAACATGAAAAAAGTGTGCATAATTTAGGCAATCTGAGCACAATATGTATTAGGCTTGTGCACTATTGTCTTTTTAATAGCACAAAAATATCAATATGAACAATGCATTGATTTATAGTTGCTTTTCTTCCATTGCACTGAACAGTTCGCCATCTGTTCTTTGCAAATCATTTCACAACAATAAAGTAAGTTAATACAAATGCAGATCAATTGATCGACCGGGATGTTACATAAATTGTGAAACTACGTTAATTCCATTTCGTCTAATTTTATTGTTCTTGGTAACACATTTTACATGAACAAAACAATATTCTATATTGTCATTTATAATAAAGTAGAGAAAAAAGGAATCCCTAAAGAAAGCCCAACAAGGCAAAATGGAATATGTTGCAGACTCGGTTTGATTGAGTCTGTTCATGGATTTGCAAGCTACCGTCCACGTCCTCTATTACCGGTTTTTAAGCAGAATGAAACATTTAACATGAACTGGTAAAATTTTAAATAAGGCTGAACAAGGAAATATCCGCGGTTGTTCGAATACTGCCAAATGTTCTTTATACATTTGTAAGAGCTATAAATAAAACCATGTCCGGCTTTCACAGGTCAAAATGCTGATGGTATTTCAATAAAACATTACAGGAGTGATCAGTGCCATCCCTAGATGTGGAAATCGCAAAGATGTTCAGCTTTGCTTGTGCAAAATGGTCGCCAGAGCTTAAAAAGAAAAATCTTGCTCGGCTTACAAGTCAAACAGCTGGTGGGATTTCAATAAAACTTCAAAGGAGTGCTCAGCACCATGCTTACTTATGCATATCGTCGGCAGTTCTGCTTCACTGCACAAACTGACCCTTAGAGCTTCATACTCAGGATTGAATACCTAGTTGTAGTAGACGTATGTTTTTGTGACAAAACCCCTTCTAGTTTAACATTTGATTCTTGAAATCGTATATGAAAATTTTATCTTTTCGAATATATACTAGTATTACATAATGCATTGTACTGATCTTAACTTGACTTATTTATTTTTTACTTCATGTTTTTAGCACAATATGATTTGATTTAGAAAGAATTAATGCATACATGCTTAGATATAGTTTCCTCTTTATTACACGAATAGTAGGTGAGGCTGTACAATTACAGCTAAAGGGCTAATAAAAATCTGGAAATAAAGTGATCCATCGGAAGCATTAATCACAACAAAATTACATGAAAATTGCAGACTCAGTTTGATTGAGTCTGTACATGAGGGATTATGAATAAGTGCAACATCCCTCACGCCCTCTAGCACCGGCTTGAGCGGTTGTCAAATCTCAACCCTTAATGTGTTGGCATCAATGAAGAACCAGAAAAAATATAACAACACGGAAGTGAAGTACGGGGCATTTTTTTACAGCTGCCACACGGCACTTGACACCTGCTGTTGTGAAGTATAAAAATCTTAAAACAAAGTGATCCCTCGGAAGCATTAATCACAACAAAATTACATGAAAATTGCAGACTCGGTTTTATTGAGTCTGTACATGAGGGATTATGAATAAGTGCAACATCCCTCATCTAATTGGTAACATGTTCTTTATGATTGCTGCCTAACTCTTTATCCGTCTATAAAGTTTGTGGCTCCAATCAAGCATTATACACTGATATACATACATTTTAAAGTTTACTAAAAATAGTTGTGTTTTTTTTTTGCATTGGATATATCACATTTTGCATTTAACCAAACATCATTTTGTATTTTCTGATCGCAGATCAGGAAATACAATGGTGACATCTCTGGCACAAAATTTCAGGACAAACCTAACAACAAGTAGTTCTCAAAACAGCTTAAAACTAGCGATGTAAAAGAAATAAATATTTTTATTTTGTTACAAGTATCCAACAAATTACAACGCATTCAAAGTTTGAAAGTAGCGTTGGCTTATAGAATTGTCAATAAATGCACAATCACAAATTACGTGGATGAATATCATTTTAATCAATGAAAATGCTACTTTTTAGCGATGTCGATTACTGAATACTTCATATCGTACTACACAAATAAATCTGACTGTCGAATACATGTCGGACTGTTTTGTCGGAAGATTTTCGCTAAATTATTTACATCCGCGTTAAACAATAGGTTTATCGTAAACAAAATACCTCGAAATTAATAAGGATTACAAACCCGAAATGGAAATTCTAAATTTAGTATCATTTGATTTTATTCAGATTTCTTCGTATAACTCCCCCGTGGTGCAGGGGTAACGCGCTCGTTTAGGGTGTGAGAGGTCTGGGGTTCAAATCCCAGTCATGGCAACTATTAGTTTTAAGTGTCTGTTTTATGTAGTAGCCACGATATGCAAGGATAAAGTGTGGTTGTCATAAAAAATGAACATAAATGATTTTTTGTTGCAACTCTAGTCATGCAAAATTCCGTATGTATCAAAAAAGAGAGCATAAAAAACTTTCTTTGTACTTAATTTTGTATAAAAGATGAATGGTCCCAATAATTCTGTGTAAAAATCGTGTTTGGAAACATTGTAACTTGGCATATTTTTTATTTCTAAAAGGCAATTAAAAATAATTTTCCATTCATTTTCAATAAAAACTAAGTTAAGTTTTTTTTGTCCATTTTTCGATACTTTAGGGCTTTGATTTGTTTCTATTTAATAAATTATAAAATGGTTTTGCTTAATCAATATCTTATTGGCGTCCGCGCCGAAGCGCGACGCCCCTTATGGAATGAAAAAGGGCAATTGCAACTTCTCGGGCGTTTTCGTCTGTCATAATAGCCGATCATTCCGTTTGGTATGATGAAAAATGAAATGTCGCGATATGTTTAATGAATAGCGAACTGGAGAATTTCGCAATGCAAACATATTTAAATTATCTTATCCATCAATTAATCACGCTCTTCGTGTTTCTTTATTAATCATGTGGGTTATTATGTATGTTACTGCTGTACCTATAAATAGAATGATGACCTTAATATTGTGAAAGTCCTAAAATCTATTTTTAGAAGTAGTTCTAGTTTAACGAAACGGTCATTCGTGTTGCGTTGTGACTGGAGAATTTT